TTATTTTACTTATTGAAAAATTATGATTGCAGTACATCTGAAAAGCCCAATTCTGAACCCAACAAATTTGAAGATTTTGGCTCAGAAAGTAACTCAAGTGCAACACAAAAAGATAAAGATGAAGGTCCAAGCACATTAGTTGAACCAGAGAGTGATGACATCAACTCCTTTTACASTTCCCTGTTCTTTAGCGAAGTTGACTTCTACCCAGACTCTGACTTAGAAGAAATAGATTTGGAAAAGCCTAAAGAAAAGGGTAGTGAATCCAAACCAGTCTCTCTAAATGATATTTTAACTGATCTGTCAAGAAAAATAGATTCAGAACATACTAGCTATTTTAACATTTGTAGAAGTGATAGGTGGGAAGGCTATAGATGCTGGGGGTCCAACACGAGAATTTTTTACCTTAATTATGGAATGGATGGGTAGTTCTCATCTTTTTTGTGGTCCAGTAGAAGGAAAATTTTTAGCATTGAATGCTCKCTGTGTTGAAAACTCAGAATACCTTTATGCTGGAAAAATGATAGCYTTGTCATTAGTACATGGGGSCCCTGGTATAAATTGCTTTTCCCCTGTTTTATATAATGCTCTAGTAAAGGGTTTAGAAACCACTTCTGCAAGTGCTCATGATGTTTAAGACCATAAGCTGAAATCATCCCTCAGTCAGTTGATGGATGCAGAGTCAGCCAAAGAGGCCTCCGAAATTATATCCAAGTACAAGTTAAATACCATTCTTGAGCTAGCAGGATGCCCTCACACTTTTGAATCTGTAAATGATATCAAAGCAGTTGTAAACAAAATTGCACATTGGTATACATTAGGAAGGGTGTATGTGGCTATTCAACAGCTTAAGGAAGGACTAAGTGTTTTGGGTGTTCTGGAGTCAATGAAATCCCATCCTTCTGTTTTTAGTGAGGTATTTCAATATCGCCCTTTAAATGTGTCCAAAGAAACAATCACAGAAATAGTATCTRTTTTATTGAGTGAAGAAGGGTCTAGTAAAAGACACATTGAAAACCAGATCATGTCATATTGGGGCGATTTTGTCCAAGACATTGAAGAGGGAGAAACATAGATTTCTTTTGAAGATTTATTTTTTTTCTGCACAGGTTGTAAGAAACCTCCACCAATAGGTTTACACATTTCCATTGCATTTCTTCACAACCCAGAAACCAATGGAGAGCTTTCTAAGTTCCCCAAGACAAATACCTGCAGTTACATTTTGTCATTGCCAGTCATTTAAAGATTCCATGACATTCGCTATAGCTAACAGTAAAGGCTTTGGGTATGCTTGAAGTATTTTTTTACTATACATTTATGCATGTCATCCAAGGCCACTCAAACAACTTTTCATCCACATTTTCTTCAGCTTCCCAATAATGTAAATACATAATTACTGTAAATGTATCAACTTGAAAAAGATCTTTTGTTTCCATAGTATAGTTTTAAGCAAAATTCAATGGTTRAAAAAGTGTCTGGGTAGCCTTACAGGGATCTCATGTAGCATGTTCTTTGAAAGTTTATATAATGTTGTAAAATAATGTTTGTTTATCRAACATTCTTTACAAAGTTATTTTTCCCTACATTTTTGGTAGTAGAGTATTAATATTTATTTAGTATTAACTTTAT